CTGTGTCGTCGTAGCCTGCCTTTAGACCTGAGATTGATGTATCTTCATGTGTTTTATTGTCAAGTTCCTACAGAACCAGAAACTATAAATTTACACACGATGTAGGTACAATTTTACCCAGCGGCAATACTCAATTATGTAACTAAAGTTCATCATGGAGGTATTAAGGACTAGAAACTATAAATTTTCTTGTTAATTCTCTCCCTATTGGTTTTGTAATCTGAGGCCCTAATTCTGTTTTGATAAAGATATATGCAGCAGAGATTTGAATAAATGTGTGCCTCTATCCGAGTCTGACTAATAGTGTACCTTTACACTCTGTCTAAAGTAAGCTTCACAAGTGAATGATCACTGAGAAAGGTATACCTGGAGCTGGATCTTTTGTTACATTTGCAGGTTTGGATAGGGTCGTAGCTTCTAAATTGTTTTTATTCATGAAAACCACCTATGCAAATGAAAAGATTTCATCAGTGAGTCAATGATGACATTGATGATATGCCTTGTGTAGGAATCAGCATGTGTCAGTCCAAAAGCGAATGTCCTTTCATTCACAAATTCCAACATGCAATTAGTGAGCAAATCATCCAAAACCTAGTTGTGGCAGACCCAATGTTGAATCCTAGAATCAAAGACTCCTATTAACAAAGGGCAAGACACAAACAAAATGGCGCAATGAACTCACCGCTTCTCGCCTACCGTGTTGTTGAAGCCGCCAGGTCCGCTCTCTCGCAAAACCAGAGCACGATTAGCACACGCAACTCCAAGCCCAAACCGGGACCTCCATTTTAACGTCCCCACACGCTCCAACCACCGATGTCGAGATCTAAACAAGACGGCCAATCGACACACGCCACCGCGCCCACCCACACACCCGCCCCTGTAACCAGATCCCACGCTTGAAACGGATCGATGGATCCCGGGAGTTGGCCAAGATCCACGCACCTCCACCGCCGCCGCCTCGGATTCCAAGAACTCCTTCTCCAAAGATGCGGTCAATCATGTCGCCGAGGCTGCCCTCCTTGGCCTCCGTGGCATTGCCTCGAGCCACCACCTCGCCGCCGGCCTCCGCCACAGCCACCCCATCCCAGCGCGCCTCCGCCTCGGCCACGACCTCCGGCTTCCCCGCGCGGCCCTCGTGCCCAGCGCTGCCGCCGCCACTGCTGCCTTTAGGAAGCCGCTCGACGGGGCGAAAGAGGGAGCGTAGAGCCGGGTCCACCGCACGGACAGGCGAAAGAGGGAGGTGACAGGCGCGTGGGATCGCATGGGGGAGAGGCTCCTCAGGCTCCAGAGAGGGGGGGCTGGGACGGACGGTGCCATTAGCATGAGCCAAGATGAACACCCGGGGGCTAATCAATAGAGATTTAGAACAAATGTCAAGATTAACGGTGAAATTGTCTCGGGAGAGAAGGACCGGTGCTGAGAGGGAGGTCGGGGGGTCTCGGGAGAAAGGACCGGAGGCGGGGGTGCCCGGTTATAATGGCGCTGGCGGCGGGGGGATCGCAGGGGAAGGCAGACTGAGGGAGCGACGGGTGCGGAAACGCAGGCATGGGCAGACGGACGAACCAAAACAAATGTCGCACCAAAAAATGTCCACACTTTGTTCTTTTTAGTTGTAGGAGATATGTGGTCTAGTCTTCCAGAGGTAAGGCCGATGTTGCAGCTCTAGAAGCAATGGCCCAGGTTCCGCTCGGCTCACACCAATTTCCTTATGCATGTGCACACTCACCCCTACAACATTAACCCACATTATGTCTCTCGTACCAAATCATCCACGATAATGATTCTCACGGGCGCCCATACCGTGACTCCCATCTGGACGCGGCTTGACCTGCGTAGGACCGGCTCCCATCTCTCTAAAAAACCAATCCACTCATCCTCCAGCCCCCTTCCCTTACCGTGGCTTTCGTTCCATCGAACGCGACGCGCCTCTGCCCGAGCGGCGCCCCCGCCCCCACACATGCCGCACCTCTGCCCGAGCCACACACACACCCCTCCCATGTCGCGCCCCTGGCCGCGTGCGCGCCTTGGCTACGCCGCCCTCCATCCCTTGGCGCGCCTCCATTCACTGTCGTGCCCCAGTCCGAGATCCGTAGCGGCGAGACCCGGAGCAGCGAAATCTGAGCACCTCCATCCTTCTCCGGCGCCAGCTTGTGCAAGACCAGCGGCCTTCCATCCGCTGCCGCGCCCCACTTCGAGATCCGGAGCGGTGAGACCCAGAGCAGCGAGATCTGAGCGCCTCCATCCCTCTCCGGCGCCGGCTCGTGCAAGACCGGTGGCCTCCCCCCCTCTCTCCATGCTGACAAGCCTCCATTCATCCAAGTAGGAAGAAGATGTTGAACTAAAAGCATGTTGCAAGGGTATGTTTTAAGTGTTTCAGCTGTTTCATACGTATGTTGCAAGTGTTTTATATAGATGTTGCAAGTATTTTATACGCATGTTGTAAGTGTTTTAGGTGTTTCATATGCATGTTGCATGTGTTTCATATGGATGTTGCAAGTGTTTTATTTGAATGTTGCAAAAGTATATCGGGATGTTGCATATGTTGCAATGGATATGCACGTATTGTATGTTTCAAGTGTTTCAGCTATTCCAAACGGATGTTGCAACTATTGAAACGGAGTGGGGCGGGGCAGATCTGCCACGAGTCCAAGCGGATGGGGCGGAGCAGGGAGCTGCGTCCGGGCGTCCGGGTGCTAGGCGTTCCGAACCATCCAAACAAGTAACATAGCATATATAGCAAGTAGCATGGTGAAAAACCCTTGATGGTGACAAGTATACAATAAATACATAGATGAATAATACAAGATGTGAGAGCCGACAGTATTGAGGAGAGGATCCAAAGCTTCCATAATTAAGGCCTCTCCGGCAAAGCCAGTTAACTGATGAGAGCCCTATGTATTTTGTGAAGCCTGAGTGTGAGGCCTGAATGTAATGAGAGGCCTAAATGCTATGCCTTTTCATTGTTTTGTTGTAAACATGAATGTAATGGGAGGCCTAAGGTTGAAATGTGAGGCCTAGAATTGGTATTTTGTATGATATTGTATGGAATATATGAACTACAATGCTTGGTATTGTATGGAATTTGTGAACCTTGGTATTGTATGGAATTTGTGATTCTGAAAACATTATATTTCATAGGTTTTAGAGCACACATTTGGTTTCTTCAAATACATGGTTAACATTTCATCAATTACATCTTACTTAAAAAAAATACATGGTTCTAACAACATCAACAAGCACTAAACCCAATAGCCTAACAGCTGCAATAAAGGCATCCATCTTGGACTCCATCTTGCTTTTTTGCCCAAGTACCCTTCTACCCTGCATGGAATCAGCTTCTTCTTCTTGTGTATAGCTATCATGGTTGAATCTGAGCACTAGATTAATGGCACTGATTCCCGAATCACTAATTTCTTCAAATAAGATCTTTGCCACTCGTAAAAAAACACATCTAGCGGGTATCTAAACAAGTGAAATGGATCAACTTTGCCACCAAATCAAACTCAATCCGGAAAAATTTACTTGGCCAAAATACTTATCCTAGGTTCATTTCTTGGGCATTTGAAAAACCACGATGATAGTTCTCATTTTTCTTCGTCCTAAGATCAATCACCCTCTCCATCCCACACTAATCGCACTGAATGAGGGGGAGCCTAGTCAGTAGCTATAGGGAACAAATAATGAAAGGGATTATCATTGAAATCATAGACGGGAACGACAAGCGGGTGGAGAGAATGGGAGAGAAGGAAGGCAACTGTTTTGTTAAGAAGGGGCGAGGGTAAAAGGGTCTTTTCGTGTCGCACTGTGCTCGGGACAGGCAATCCTCCACTTTGAATGGCTGATCTAGCGTGTCACGTCAGAAAAAAGATAATAATGTGTATCTCCTCTCTGCAATGGCAAAAATGTAGGTTCCCGTGTAGTAATGGCAATCGGAGACTTGGCATTCATAAGAGTGACAAATAGTTAAATATCCCGGTGGTTCTTCCTCTATGGCAATGCAAGTTAGTGGTTCAGGGTGAATCCCCTCTAGTTGTTCTTGGCACATGGCATGCCTTCGCAGTGAAGTTATCTTGTTGTAGCGGTTGTTGATGAGTTGTTATCTTGATTTTGTTTGTAGCTATGAAGGGGCTTCCCATTTTGTCCTAGCTAAAAACCGTGGAGTTGTTTAGTCTAGTTGTTAGTCGGGACTTGTGTTGTGTGTTTTTGGTCCACTTTCCACTTAAACAATTGGCCCAATTCTTGTTTTATATTTCTTGTTAATTCTTGTTTTATATTTCTTGTTCTAATAAAAAATGTGCAGAGGTGTAGGGTCATGTGTTTTGTGGGGTAATACACTTTGTATGTGAGCGGTGGCTAATTGTGTTTTTGGTCCTATGGCCGGTGGTGTCTGGCACCATGGGTGCTCTTGTACATAAAACTCTTCTTCCTCTTAATTGAGCGGCAGAGCTCCTGCTTTTACTTTTAAAAAATAAAAAATATGGTAAAGCTTTAATTTTGCCATCACTTTGAAAGAAAAAACATAATAAACCAAGCAAGTCTTTGATCCTTTGTTGGAATAATGTAACTTAATGACCTCCAAAATACCTAAAAATAAACAAGAAACGGAAGAACAAAATGGTGCTGGAGATTGTTCTTGTAGGCAAAAAAAAAAAGTGAATATTAACTCTTTGTCCACACTAATTGTCATTTGTTTCACATCAACAATCAAAGAATATATATTTCTGTAAAACCATTGAACATTACACATTTCCTGATTACAATCAGTCCTAGGATGGCATGAAGCATTCTACTTTCACACCATGTATGTTTAGTATACAGAGGGAAAGCGAGGAAGAAATGAGAAAAATAAACCAGGCAATTGAATTCACTGGGGAGGAAAAAATGTAACACGCCGACACCAAAGTTACAACACAAGATGGAAACATACAACAGGGATGTACAGGGTTGCATTACAGTATGCACAAGTACCTCGGTGTTGCTGCAAACAAAGAACATTTTCGCTAGCTTGCTTCAACTGAAAGGATCTCAAGCTCCGCCCACCAGAGTGGAGATAACCGTGGCGTCGCAGCCTCAGACGAAATTGACAGTGCTTCTCGCAATCTAGTGGTGACCTCCATCATGGTTGGTCTCTTCTTCGGATCGCTTTGGATGCAGTCCTGGACCAAATCACATATGATTTCTAGGTCCTTTTCTTTGTGATCCTTCAAGTTAGGATCAAGCAAACAAGACATGCTCCGGTTATCCCTAATGCACTCCAAAGCCTGACAGAAATCACGACATTTGATGTTACTTTAAATGTGGTATTTTCGAAGTTTCAGTAACAAGTAACTATCCATAGTGTCTTTGTCGTCATTACCAAGTTTGAAAGGGAACCCTTTTCTTCGGAGTACGGAGGCTTTCCTGAGATGATCTCCAGCATGAGTAGACCAAAACTGTGGACATTCCCAGCTGGATCCGCAGCTACTCGTTCATGGTGATCAACTAAGTCGTCATCCTTGGGCATGTTTCCTCTGGAATATACTTCATGCCAAACGCTCATGTCTACTATCTGTGGAAAGAATTAAGGAACTAGTGTAAGGAGAAAAGCATTATGTGAAGTGCTTATCTAAACTCCCTGTCCAAATAACTAGAAAATGGTTCGTCTAATTTATGCAGTAGATAAGTGTGCATCAAATTCATCCTTTTAACCAAATATGGATAATATAACTCTAAATCAAATGGTAAAATTGCATGAAGAACTGATAGTGATTTCAATGAAGTTTCAGTCTTATACTATGTTTGTTTCCTACTTATCATCAAATCTGGGCGGGCAGTGACTTAGGAAATGCCCTGTAGAAGTCTCCAGTCTCCAGATATTCAAAGAAAGAAAAGCTGACACTCATAAGCACGTTTGTACCTTTGCAGCTCCATCCTCAGATAGCAATATAGCACTTGATTTTAACTCTGGGTGTGTTATTGGAGGGCTAAGCTCATGCATGTGTAGGGTGCAGTATGCTACTCCCATAATTATCCTCATCCTACCATTCCAATCAATAGGATCAAATCCCTCGACTGCAACAGACAAAGCAAAACATTTCAATTCAACCACAAAGATCAGAGGGTAGACATAAAAAAATGTGGAATAGATCAACGGCTGATACCATGGAGGTGTTCATATAGCGTTCCATTAGGAGCATATTCCATCACCATCATCCTCATGAAAGGTTCTTCCTCCTCACAGTACCCAAGCAGGTTGATATAGTTCTTATGGTTGACTCGCGAGAGTGAGTCTATCTATGTTGTCAGGAAGAAAAATAAGGAGGTTAAAACAAGTTTGTTTAAAGGCCACCTCTCAAAATTACAAACTTAGAGCCTTAGATGCACTGAGTTAATAAAATTAAAATATATTGCATTACCTTTTTCCTGAATCGCCCTTCCGAATGTTTTGACCAATCTTTGCTAGAGGTAATCATGGTTGATACAACAGCAATCTCAACACCACTTGATAAGGTTCCCTTGTAGACAGTGTACTGTGGATAGGTTGCCACAATGTTACTGAAGTCCTCACAAGCACCTTCCAGCTCAGAGCGTTGCAACTTTGGTACTCCTAAAATACACAAGGGGGAAAATTACCACAAATTAATAGAGGCAATTTAAGTAGATAATTCTGAAACTCTTTCAACAGACATGAATTTGTTACTCGGATAAATCTAAATAACAAGGTCCCAAAAGAACAAAGAAGGCGTTTCAACGGTTTGGTAATCTACACATGCTGGAACCTTTGGCGGAAAAAAACCCGAAGAATCTTCAATAGCGGCCAAGAATCGGCAATGCAGGTGGCCTCAAGAATAAAAGAGGAATAATCATGAGGGGGGCTAGCAAGCTGGGGACATTAGTGTATCCGTGTATCGTGATTTTGATTTCTGTTGGGTGCCCAACTAGTTGGGCTGCGACCTGTATATGAACTCTCTTTTTTCTATCTTAATTGAGAGGCAGAGCTCCTGCCGTTCGTTCAAAAAAAAATCTAAATAACATATTAATATTACTTAATGCAAGACATTAGTTCATTTCTATACAGACTGCTGGCACGTAGAGGTGGAACAATTGTGCATACTTTTATTTAAAATGATCTCCAAAGGCGAAAAGTAGATGCAACTATGAAATGTTTTTTTTCCTCGCATAAAATAAGATTACTGAGCCCTGTCTTCCATGAGCCCTGTCTCCAAAGGCGAAAGTAGATGCAACTATGAAAAGTATATAGCAAATAAAAACATTACCTGTTACAAATGCCTTCTGGAGCTGACCACTGAGCCCTGTCTTCCATGGACCTATTGTTGTCCCTGACTTGGTGCGGCATAGAAAAAGCATACATGCGATGCCAATAAGAAGTGCGACCAGTGGCACCACAATGAGATAAAGCCATTTGATGGACCTTCTTCCTGGAACTTCTTCGGCGGTAGTACTGGGGACCGTCGGTGGACTACTTGGGGGATTTACAGCTGGTACAGGTGCATTGTTGGGACTGAATGCTGAAAATGAACCAGTTCCAGTGGAAGGAACAGGAACAGCAGCTGGAACAAGAGCATTTGCAGAAGAAGGTGCAGCAAGATTGCTATCTTGAAGTAACCTGCGCTGGCTAAGCTGTGCTGCTGGATTTCTTGCTGCATATTGTGAAGGAAGTTGAGCTGGGAAAAAGAAGCAAAGATATCATTTACGGACTAGCTTATGCATCTAGGACTTGACTTGTTTTTTTTTTTCTCTCGAACAAGCTTTGTATCATTAATGAGAAGAAAACATAAGGACTTGAGCTTAGTATAGTCAATTGGATTACCAGAAAGGTTGCTAGTATCCTTTTTGTCCTCTTGTGAGGAAGAACCAGATTCCAACCTAGAATGGTCCAGATTAAAAAACTGCTACCATCAGGATCTGCAGATAATTTCTAATTTCCAAAAAAATGGAAGAAAAAACGGGTGATAACTTAGAGGGGAATTTGTAGCACTAATTTTTTTCCCTTACCCATTCTCAGCTCTTCGATTCATACTACCCCTCCCGAGATTATCATAAATATTGAAATCATTTTCCTGATCGAAGTTCCCATAGGAATGTTGGATCAGAGGCCACTGAAAGCAGTTATTGGAAAGCAATCTGCAGAAGCGAAAAATATCATGACATTGTATTCCTGCTGATGAAAATTTTCACGAAATTAATCAGTCAGAAACCTACAACTGCCTAAGTGATTGCATTTCTGCTATCTCTTGTGGAACTTCCCCACTCAAGTTGTTGTTGCTTAAATCCAGTATCTCCAACATTGCAAGAGCACTCAATTCCTTAGGTATTGCTCCACTGAATAAGTTATTGGAGAGTACACTGCAAGTGGATAGCTAGGTGTCAATCATTGTCATGGGTGTAGCAACCAGTAAAATACTACCATATCAAATTGCCAATCTAATTTTTGCAACAAATGACAATTTATATTCTGGCGAAAGCATTAATATATCACTATAGTTTTTCCTCAAATGCGCAAGAGAACTGCATATCATTGCATTATAAAAGGAAATTTAAAGGTCTATACAAACTGAAAAATAATAACAGAAGTTTATGACTATACTTACAGAGCCCTCAGATGGCTAAGAGTTCCTAGCTCTGGACCTAGGGTGCCTCTTAAGGAGAGATCCTTCAGGTTTCTGGAAAAAGAAAGTTCGCACTAAGCAGAATACTCCAGATGCTAATGAGATAGCATAGCCAAAGCACATATAAAAAACAACTGCAGGAGTAAAAAAAAACTAACGTTCACATGGCACTGTACAAAATGTCGTCTGAGATTTTTTTTTTAAAAAAAAAACAACAGCTGTGTAAGAATCATCTTCTTAAATAACAAGAAGATTCACTGGTAAAAATGAAAACATGTGATTCCAAGAATCACTGATAAGTACTTCTGCATTTGCATCTGAAATACCAATGATAACTAGTGGAGATGGTGGATCCTGAAGAACAATGTGTACACCAACGATGGCCCCTGAAATCTAATGTAGGCAGAGTACAGCATTTTGCCCATGGTGATCCCACACCATAAAAATAAAAATGCCACCAGGAATAGAAATCAATCATATAAAATTAGCTGCAGCCACTTGTTCAAGTTGGCTGAGTCAAGAAACCACTCTAATACACCAAATAATGAGCTTGCTCAGAGGTTTCATTTGAAAACTAATTGGGAATGATGCATTATATAGGGGTCTGAACAATGTATTCACGGCAAATACAGACAAAAAAACGTAACTGTGTAATCTGCTAAAAAACTTTTACTGTATGCTTTTAAAAAAGGTAGAAAATAATTTAAAGCGTAGCATGTTCAAGGGCATATTACACCAAATTTTAGTTACTAGAGATGCTCCAGGGTGCATGGAAATTCCTCCAAGTGGAATATAAAACACTCCTTATTTACTCATTCGAAGCCTCATCATCGTATCCACTCTGTCAACCATTGAACAGCTAGATTTCTTTTATAACTTGTCTGAATTAAGAAGCAGACTATGCTTGTGTTAAGATAAACTCGACAGAAGAACTGGTACGTTTCTTTTCATGTATTCAATGTAAAGTCAAACCACGATAACTACAAGGGGAGAAAGTTTTAGAACGAAAAGTACGGGCGCCAACACAGGATTCATTCGGCCTGTTCGCTGATTGGTTTCTGGGCTGGTTTGGGCTGGCTGGTGCTGGTTTATTGTGAGAAAAAAACACTATTGGTTGGCTGGTTTGGGCTGGCTGAAACCAACAAGCGAACAGGGCGATTGAACAATAAACCAATGCCACTACACTCTTCTGCCGTGAAAGATACAGTCAAATGGAAGACCCGTTAAACAGGGGAATGAAACGTTGTTTGTTGGCAATCATGATCATCCATGCTGAGACACTGTGCATTCAGAAGGGGAGAGAGAGCATCCAACTCACAACATCACAACTCTGCCATAGACGCAGCGCACGCCGTTCCAACTGCAGGGGTCGCCGTCGCGCGGGCTCCAGCCCACCATGGCGCCATACGGATCCTCCTCCACCCTTGACTGGAACTTGAGCAGTACCGACCCTGCGCACGCCACAACCACAAGAAACGCGCGCCAAGTCAGCACGACAATGCAAGCACCGAAACCAAACACCGGTGTCGAGACGCCGGCCCGTACCTTCAAGGTTGACCGCCGAGCAGCCATCCACGGCAAGATGAAGCGCCAGCACGACGAGCGCCAACGACGACGAAATGAAGCCATCCATCCTTCGCATGCTTTTCCCGTCCCGCAGGCGCGCGACGATCGAGACGACGGCAGGGCGCCCTCACATGATCCTCTTCGCGAGCCTCTTGAGCAGCCTGGAATGCATGGTCAGGCGCGGGGGGCAGGCATTGCGCCCGCTGCAGCGACGATGCGAGCTCCACCCAGGCACGGCAGCCTCAAGTCCGCTTCGTGCCTGCATGCAAAGAGAAAACAGACAGGAACAGCTCAGAGGTGCCAGAAAAAGGGCGACGAGGAGCTGAGGAAACTTGCAATCACCATAAAGCAAACAAACAGCTTTAGCGCCTTTTTGTTTTGCCTGACGATTTTTGCTTACACCGCACGCGATTCGAATCAAGAAACTGAAATGAGGATTCGAGGAGGGGTGCTTACACGGCGGCGGGTTGGGGAACGGAGACGAGGGGGAAGAGAGAGAAAGAGAGAGGACGGGAGGGAGAGGGAAACAGCGGTCGTCCGCTGTTGGAGGAACGGGTAGTAGTTGGAGGAGAAACCAAGAACGGCAGGCGCGACACGACGAAGCCAAAAAAAAAAACACAAACACACTTTGAAAGAAAGAAGATTTCACGGCGCATCCTCTTGGCTGTAATCGTGTTCGAGATCGTGTTTTTTAAAAATAAAAATCGACAGACGTGAGTGGAATTCTTCCTCCGCCACCTGTAGGACAATTCCACTTCCACACCAGGATTCGGGAGGCAGGCTTAAAAAAAAACTGCATAATATACGAGGCGCGGTCGTTGTCAAGTGTGGAACAGGACAACCACTCTGCAAGTCTGCAGAACGCGCGCGCGCTCACATCGTCATCGCCGGCGACGGATTCGACGGTCCGCATTTTAAAAACCGTTTGGCGCGGTGGTGCCCATCATCACATATGGCAATAGAATATGGCCCGCACCGCATTGACATTGTTCCGCCCCCCTGTGGTGCCAATCGCGGCCGGACATCTCAGCGACGCCAAATGCTGTGCTTGAAAGGGAAAAGGCAAGGAAATTTCTGAACAAGGGAAGGGAATAGTTAAACCAGGTCACAATCCCAAACCGATTGCAGCTGGAGTAATTTTGAAAATAAAAACAAAAATCGAAGAGGCAAAACAGAGGTGGATTGCAAGTTTTTTCACTCTCTTCATCACATCAAATCTTTAAACACATGTATGGAGTATTAAATGTATATAAATAACCCTAAAATTACGGTTTAGATGCAAGTTTTTTTCACTCTCTCTCAAAAAATAACTAATTACACATGCATGATATTAAATGTAGATAAAAAAATAACTAATTATACAGTTTAATTATAAATTACGAGACGAATCTTTTAAGCCTAGTTAGACCATAATTGAACAATAATTATCGAATAAAAAAAATGCTACGGCGCCAACTACTTGTTCCTAGCCCCAGTCTAAACGAGGCCCGGAGCTAAGGTTCCCGGGACGAGCTGATGGGAAATGCGATCGACCGACGGCGATGGCCTTGCAACTCGCGGAGGCGCTGCAGAGATGGGCGGGCCCTTACCCGTGGTTCGGCGCCGCGGCCTGGCGGCCGGCGGCTGGATGCCTGGATCCCTTCAGTCGCGCGGAGCTCCGAGCTCCGAGCTCCTCACCAGCTTGCGATCCGTCGTGGCGGGGGACGGTGGCCGGCGGCCGGCGGCGAGCCGAGGCGGGCAACGGCGGGCGCGAGTCGCGGCTGGTTGGCTTGCGTTCGAAGAGACGTGCGGTGGGGCCCGCGCGGGGCAGGTGGGGACGCGCAAACGAGGGGAGCTTCTAGTGTGTTTTTTCTTTTTTTTTCTTTGCTTAGCTAATTGATTAACGATTGCCTTGGAGCTGTGGGCCCGCTAGCTGTCCCCCTGTAACCCTTTTCTTTTTCGGGAAATAATATACGAGTATTGTTCAGTTTATTATGTCCGTCGTTCTTCTTTCCTTTTTCTTTTTCGAAATTTGTTTATTTATTCAATTCAGTTTATGTCCGTCGTTCTTCTGTTGAGAAAAGGAAAGGAAACCCTCGCCCGCCGCACGTCGTGTCGCCGGTTTACGGGCACCTGCAAGAGCATGTGTTCCCTACTTTCGCCTATTTATTTGGGCTGATTTGACTTATAAGCCATAGCTGAAAGTACTGTTGGCTGGTTCGGTGTGAGAGAAAAATATTGTTCGTTGACTGATAAGTCATGGCTTATAAGCCAGATACAAGCAAGCGAACAGAGCTATTTATTTGGCCACAGTACTCTCTTTTCTTTTGAGAATAAGCAGTATATACTCAAATCTTTTATGTTAATTAACCTCATCAAATATATGTACAACAATATTTAAGTTCCAACAAATGATAATGGAATGGATACCACATCAATATAAGGTTGCATCGAGAATTCACTTTGAGCTCTTTGGACATCTGCGGTATGCAAAAAAGATAGACATTTAGGGTCAACCTTATACATTGCAGACTCTTACGTTAGGGCAACTTTAGCAAAACATGCTAGAGGATCAGCCTCTAGCTAAAGGTCATGTTAAAAAAAATAATTTCACCATTTCTAGATGCGTGCAAGCACAAGAAGGGGTGGAGGCCGTGCTAGGATAGAAAGGCGGTGGTCCCTTAGCGTGGTGGTGAAGTTGGCATCAGAGGCGGACTGTGATCGAGGTCGACGACGCACTTGGTGGAGGATGTTGTTAGCGACACTGAGGTACGCCTCCCAGTCCGATCAAGCAGACCTTGGAGATGACGAGAGCTACATGGCAAAGGAGAGGATTATTGAACTCAAGTATTTTATGTTGCGAAGGATGGTGATGATGAAAGCATATTTGTTATGGGGTAGCATGGAGATTATATTCCTCACCATATTCACATTGCTCACCTTGGTTAAACCTATTGCATTGAGCTTATTTATAATAAGATTAAGACGTGAGTACATGTCTTTCACAAGCTCATTAAGTAACATAGAAAAAGATTTGACCAAGCAATATTTTTGTTGACCAACATTGCTAGAACCATCGTGAAGCTCTTCCAATTTTAGCCAAATATCATTGGCTTTAGTAAACATGTAGACTTGGTTAAACACATCAATACTAATGCATTCAAAATGCAGTTTCTAGCTCTAGCATTGAGGTGAGGTGGATCTCCTTCTCATCACTAGTGGTGGGTTTTTGGATTCTTTAGGGGTTTTATTATGTCTCTAGTAACTCTCCAAACACCAAGATTAATGGCTTCTAGGTAGCAAGACATGCACGTACACCAATAGGAGTTCGTGCGCATACCATCAAAGTACAGGGGTATATCGGATTCTATCCCGACCACTCTAAATAGCATCAAAAGCTCAACGGCGCTTAAACCAAATACTCAAATTTGAGCCCGCCTAAGAGAGGGTGAATTAGATCACTTAAAAATTAAGGCCCGAAAACCCTTTATAAGAACATATAGAAGATCTCTCTAGATGTGCACTAAGTTTTCTAGGTGTTGCTATCTCGAACGCGAGAGTTTCATATCAACAAACCTCTCTCTTGGCATTGTTAATCCTTTCATTTGTCCTACATACGACTTCATAGGGAGCAAAGCTAGGGTTACTGTTATCATCTTGTATTTTTCTACCTTTACAGACACTACTATTTTTGTTTTAGTCAAAAACATGATAAACCTAAAAAATGAGCATCGGTAACCGTTATCTTCTGGTTTTCCTTTCATCCCTAGTTATTGTTTCACCCCAGCCCACTTTTTTTTAACTGTTAAATACATGCTAACCCCCCTGGGCCACATGTCAGCCTCACTATTTTTCTTCCCTTATGATTTAGTTGGGCAGGCCCTGGTTCATGGAATTTCGTCCAGATGTAGTAATACATGTGAACAGACCAGGTGGTTTTCAGCGTAAATCCAATGAACTACTGCCACATAACTACAACCGACAACTCCCTCCGTCCAAGAATAGATGACGTTATGGGATACGTACAGGTTAAACTTTCTCAACTTTGACTAGGTTCGTAGAAAATACGTGCAACATTTATATCTCCAAATAAGTTTATTATGAAAGTATATTAAACAATCTATCTATTGATACTAATTATGTATTATAAATATTAATATTCTTTTATATATAATTGGTCAAAGTTCAAAAAAATTAACTTCTCGAGAAGCGAGAACGTCTTCTAATTTGGAACAGAGGGAGTACATTCATTATAGAGCTTTTTACCTGTATGGCCCTATAAAAAATGCATCTTCCTTGTATAGCTTTTTTTTTTAATTTCCTGTATGGCTCTGAAAAGAAATTTTCTTCCTTCTATGGCCATATAGGTAAGTTCAAAAAATAAAAGACCATACAAGGACGATGTATTTTTTCAGGACCATATAGATAAAAAGCTCTTTATTATATGACAGCATCAACAAGACCGACCCTCTCCAATGTGCCAACGTCAGGCAACTACAACCGACTACATCCATTATATAACAGCATCAACAAATCAGTCTTCTCTTATAAGAGAACTGACCCTGACATTTCCACCATGTAGCAGCTGCTTGTCGCAATCGTCCTATGAACGTCAGTTGACAAAAGATTAACTAAACAACACAATCGTCCTATGAATGTCAGTTGAGAGAAGATTAACTAAACAATCTGCTGGTTTGCGCGTGCGAAATCAATGTATCGCAACAGAAGCACGCCTGTGATGATGGCAGGATGAGACAGGACCATCGCATCACCCAGAATGACGGCCAAGTAATAGCCCTGCGCTACTGAAGCAATACTTTTCGACGAACAGTCAGCGTTACTTCTACCACAGTGCCATCTGCAAATAACCAGTCTAAAAACAACCCGCCAACCAAGCTCTATCGCTTATGCTCCCAAATCAGCCTCTGTATTATACTGCTAAAAAAAATAAGAACTATTCCTTACGTGAATTTTTTTTGTTTCTACCGATAACCAAACGTTAAATGCAATATACTCTATCAGTCGTGGTAATTATGATTCGGAGTACTAGAATGGACTAATTGTGGTAATTATGATTTCTGTAACGCCATCTGTTGGTCAGAAGGCGCCTTTTCTACAACGGTGGCGCCAGAAAGGAAGGCTGTACAGCTACTAAGAATTTTTTGGTACAGAGTAATGCTATCAGAGGAACTCCTTGAGCTAACGAGGCTGTTGAGTTCATGAGCTAACTTGATAATATGCTCCTCCTTCAGCCTATCCGCGTTGCGGTTCAGCAGATTGAGCCACGACATGGAGGAGATGTTGCATATCTTGCCCTCCTGGAAGCTGCTGACACAGGAGATCGCCGCCAATGTGTCTCCCTGCATCAGTTTCAGGCAGAATCTTTCCATTATGACAGGGGTGGGTGGGGCACGGCTGTGATGGCACAGGTAGCGCCACAGATCATCCAACAGCTTTTCCTGAATAGTGATGAAGAACTAGGGGTGAGACACATGAATTGTTCCACCAAGTAGCTGGATATGAACACAAATGTTTCTGCTCCTAAAAGTGATAGTTGCTAATGTAAGTACCTTTCCATGCCTATAAGCGTCAAGTACCATACGGAGGTGCCTTCGCTCATTGAAATGGTACCCATTCAATAACATCTCGCGAAATGCATACTCAAAGTCATTCCACCTTTTTGCTGCAGCGCAGGCCTCCATGAAAGTATTGAAAGTAAACTTGTCAGCAGTTGCCACTTGACTAGAATCCGCTTTACTCCTTATCCTGCAATTCAGAATATCATGGAGCAGATCTTTCGCGTCTTCGAGCATTCCATGTTTAATGTATGACTTCAGCATGATGTTGCAAGTCACAGTATTAGGTGAACAGTAGTTGCACATGTGGTTGAATATGTATTTAGCATTTTCCATGCAACCATTGTCTATGCAAGTCTGAATGAGTCCTGTGTAGGTAACAACCAGCGGTTTGTTGGCAACCTTGCATATCTTCACAACCTGCGATGTAGTTGTCATCAGACAGAAGTTAGTGAGACGAAACAAGCAATCTGAAGGCATGAAACAACAACAGACAGATGGCTCTGGATTTGCAAGTTTTCTCAAATCAAAAGCTCTGCAATGAAAACTGGAGGCTCAGAATAGGTTCAGAGCCTAATTCCAGCCTTATCTTACACATATCTAAAATAATAGCTCAGAACACCTCTACAGTACAAGTATGGTTTCTGCAATCTTGCTTATGCATCTATCAACAGTCTTCCTTTGTGTAGGCAGAGGTGCCTTGAAACACTATATCTTCTGTTCGCTCGACAACCAAGATTAAAGATAAACGTTTAAATCTATCGATTGCAGAAAATAGTGTATTATAAAATTATGAAAAATATATTCAGGCAAACACAATATAGCTCATTGATCCTAAACCTTGCAGTTTAAGTAGTTATCCTTCAGTATGCCCAATACAGAATGGCCATAGCAAGATTTAATTTCCGTGTCAACATAAGCTATGTATGTTGCACATACTAACTACATTTTGTTGAGTACAAACCTGGAGAAGTGCTTCTTTGCACCGTCCTCCACTGCAAAGGCATCGAGCTAGGTCATAATACAGACTAGCAGAACCAACAATTCCACGACTTTCCATATCCTTCACAGCCATTACTGCTTCATCAATCTTTCCTTCTCTCCAAAGTGCATTTACAAGAACTAGAGACAGCAGCAGGTCAGATATGTCAATTATACTTAACATAATCAAGTTAAAGTTGTAGGAAGGATACCTTTATAGTTCAGAGCACCAGGTATTGATGATTTCTCCACCTTATTGAAGAACTCATAAACCAAATTGTACTTTCCACAGACAAGCATCACCTGCAGTACCAGAAAGTTAGAATAGACTCAGAAGGGAGTATGCCACATAAAGAGCAATGCAAAAAAATATTGAAAGTATAATGCTACTGTGAAAAGTAGACGGGATAAGTGGAGAACAAATAACATGAATCAATGCATTTCAATCGGAATGAGCTGCTCAATTATCGTCAGACAATAATGAAAGGTTTGCAGAAGCATCAATCAGGACCACCATAGCTGGGTCTGAGATGGAGTGCACGAGAACTGTGTCACATACTCACATGCAACATCAAGATTAACGTACCTCCATAACAAGACCATATGTTGAATTTGTTGGACGAATGTTCTTCTCTTTCAACTGTTGCAGTACCCAAAATGCCCCTTCCCATTGCTTTTGTTGCACACAAGTATTCAAAACCTGCAAAGAGGTAAAAGTAGTTATGTGCTACTGAAGACCAAGTGACCAAAATATTTGAAGATTCTTGTTTCCTGGTCTATACAATCCAGTTCGGCAGTTCCACATGAAATTTGCTACAGATATTACTCACCGCATTGTATACAATGAGGTCTGGTTCCAAGCGAGGATCCCAATTCTGAAGAGGGCACAATTTGAACTTCTTCCTAGGAGGAGAACGCATGCAATCAATCACATCAAATAGTTCTTTCACAAGACCAGCTTGCCCAAGAGTAACAGCAATACAATGATAAGCTGCCATGTCAGGATAAGATGACAATTGGTTCTGCAAATGACATATAAATAAGGTCAGATTAGGTTTACATAACCATAAGGCAAAGATGAGAACTAGTTGTACCTGCATGCTGTAAAATACATTCAATGCCTCGAGCGGTCTCTTTGACTTCCCTAGAACATCGAGAACTGTTGTGTAAATATACCTGCATCATATAGATAACATTATGAACATAGCATGCATTTTGTATGCTAAAATTATATATCTATTAAGTGTAAAATCTTTAAGGCCATAGGAAGGTACCCAAGAGAACTTAAATTTAACTAAAAGCTAGCATTTTTAAGGTTAATAAGACAGTACAAATCACATCAATAGCAGTCACTAGAATGCGTGACATCTAAGAAGAGTGTAGAGATATATGAGTAGACAATTACTTAACCTGCTCTTGTAGGATTTGAACCTTTCACGTGACTGAAGCCATTCAACAACTTGCAAAACACGTTTCCAATTTCCATATCGCCCCAACATTTGAACGATCCTTAGGATAGAGTGATCAGAGAATTTGATTTTTGCACCATGAATCATTTTGGAGAATTTCCACTCTGGAGTGTTTACATCTGTAGCATTGAGCCTTCGAAAAATAAATAACCATAAGGATTGATGGAACCTTAGTAAGTTCATTGGTTTATTTCAATGGGAGAAAAATTCCAAGTCGAGCAGCATGATCATATTTTTAGTGTGAATGATGATGGTAGATGGTAATATCAGTGAATACAAGGAGCAGTTTGTAGGTAAACTGGGTGAAAGTTGGGCAATTGCAAAGAAAAGTGATGCTCATGCTAAGATTACATTGAAGCACCATGAAGGCCCAACTTTTCAAAAATAGAGAAGAGTACTATGTCAGACATAAACCAGGATAACTCGAGCATTTCAACATAATAATCAAGTATATAGAAGACTTACCGACTAGCTAACTTCTGAATTCTCTCTTCCATTTCCATTCGAAGGATCCGTGGCCTATTCCTGACATCAGTAAATACCTCAAAAGTTTTGAAAGCAGCTCTATCATCAAAATCTGTAGCTTCCACATCCCTCCTAACAAATTTCCTCATTTTAACATTTGCTCCTCTATGCAATTGAACCATTCTAGGCTCATCACTCTCCAAATTATCACTTGAATGGCTATCATGCTCAGGCGTTGCCTGTGCACTCCTATAAATTTTGCTTACAGTAGACTTCTTAGAGTCTATGTCAATCTCTCCAAGCCTACGCACTAAAAAGTTTCTCCCTAAGCTCTCCACTCTTTGCTGGTTTCTTTGAACGTTGCTGTCGGCGTTGACCTCAGCATTGGAAAATGTCTCTCCAGGATATTTGAAGTCTATACTACTACTTGTCCTAGTATAGTCATGTTTTCCCATTTGAACCTTAGCATTCTTTGATGAAATGTTGCTATTCGGAAGGGCAGAAGTCCCAGATGGAGTATACGTTGCTCGCCCTTGTAAATCGTTCCCTGCAACTGACTGAGCCTGTCTGTTCCTCACCAACTGATGAACAGACATACTACCCCTAGTATCTTTAGCCTTCACAGGTGATGAGAACTGCCCATTTCCTCCATTTCCTCTCGTGTCACCACGAATTATTCTTCTCTGTACATAGTCTTCGACCTCTCCTTCCCTGCAACGGCTATTTTTTACATGTCCCATTGCTCTTTTATCCACAAATCCCGTAACATCCTTCTGATTCTCATCCTTTGCCAAGTCCCTCCGAGGCCCCTGATTCCTTTCAAATGGTTTATTCCTTGCATCACCAGACCTCCTATTCGTTTGTCGGTCATCACCCGCGAACCTTCTCCTCGAGCTCCGGCCATCCAAATCGGGGCCATGTAAATTCTTGCTCCTGTCCAACTTCACCGACTCCATGATTTTCACATAGTCAGTGAAAGTTGGGCTGAACGTCAGCTCCTTCTCGATGTGCTGAAGCTCCGACAACCCGGCGCCGACCTCGCCACTAGCCACAGCGCCGTCACTTCTTGAATCAAGAACCCAGCCCCTCTTCCTCGCCAAACCCCAGCACAGTGGCAACATGGAGACGCTCCTCTCGGGAATCAAGAACCCGCGGCCATGGCATGAATGAGGCCGCGGACTGGGGAGGAGAGCCCCGCAGCCACCCAAACTGAGCAGTCCCATGCTAGCATTCGGTGGCGCCGACATTCCCCTCCTCCGGAGCTGCACCCACTACTGCATTGCTTATTGGCTTACTGCAGAAAAGGTTCTTCCTTATTGGCTTATTGCAGAAAAGGTTCTGACCAAGAAACTTAGCAGGCCAGAACGATCAGGCAGGAATTCTGAGGCTCGAGCAATCGGAAGAAGCGCGTGTACCTGCGGTTGACCGCGCCCTGGCTGGTTGCCTCCGGCGTTATCTCCTCCTGTCTTGCGGCCTCGTGTGAGGAAGACCGGACTAGAAGTCGGAAAGATTTGGGCCCGTTTGAATCCCTGTGGATTCTAGAAATCGAGATAAAAAAATCACGACGCTTCCAAACGGGAGGGATAAAGAGCGAGATAAGAAAAATTTAAGAAGCAGATTCTTGAAATCTCCTAATCCCTCTCCTACCGGATAAACAAGCTTCTCTTCCCCTACCGTTTCTTCTCGGCAGCGTCCCGATGCCACCGACCCGCGCGTGCCGCAACGCTGGCTCAACCCCGCTGCCGCGAGCTGCTCCAGTACCTCCGACGCCCCGCCCGCGTGCACCGACGCCCCGCGCCGCTGCCTCCGGCCGTCGACACGAGCCGCTACCGCTACCGCCACCGTCTCCCTTGCACGCCTGCACTGGCGCCGCTACTGCCGCTCTCCCTTGTGCGCCTCACCACTGCGCCCGTGCGCTGCTGCCTGCTGTGACCACCACCCCAGCCGTGCTCGAACAGAGATAGCAGGGAAGAAGAGTCCCGAGATGCAGAGAGAACGGACGAGGGATAGAGCGGGGAGAGATAAGTCTGAGAAACGGTTTTATGTTTTTTTTCCCTACATACTATATACCATTTCCATTCTAAATTATAAATTACACTAGGTATTCTATAAAAATATAATTAATAAAGATCTAATGATACTTAGTTGATATAATAAATGTTAGTTTTTATTATATAAATTTGATTAAATTTGAGATGTAAGTTTTGACTCTCTTAAAAAGTTAGAATGATTTATAATTTGGGATGGACGGAGTATTTAAAAACTACATCATTTATGTAAACTGAGTTACTAGGAATTGATTTATAGATTGATGGCAGGATCAAGGGCATTATAGACAATGCACCGTTTGATAAGTTGGGCATGTTCGGCTGATCCGTTGCGCAGTAGATTTTGGATTATTTTGGATGATTCAATAGTGTTATGTGGATAGAATAAGCTGAAACAAGTTGAAACAAAGCTGGAAGTTGAGCAGCCGAACATCAAGATAATCTTATGCCTAGAATCTAGAAATTCAAACAACCTATATTTTTATATAGGTCGTAGTCCAAATTCTACAATCCATGCCTACAATGTGTAGATTCCTATAATCTCAAACTAATCCAAACGGGCTTTTGAATTCACAAAAGATATTTTACATATGGGCCATTGCCGATAGACAGAAGAACCAAAGAACTCAAAAAAGGGAGAAGCATAACTTTAGGCTGGGTTAGGGCCATTTGGTTGGTTTGAACCCTACTTTACACAATTCTTGTCCACGGACTACTAATTAAGGATCTGTTGTTTAAGCTTCCTGATGATGATTGTGGACTGTAGTTTGCAGCAGGTTACTGTCCACAAACTGAAATAAACACTGTAACAATCCACGGGTTAGATTGTTACAAAGCTTGCATTTTGTGACAATTTGCAGTGCATAATCCACGTTCTACAAACTAATAAATAGAGCCTAAAATAAGATTATTTGATTCACGCTGGACCATAAAACAACACTTGATAGGTTGATGTACAACTCGGTTAAACAGCAAGCGTGAATCTAATAATTTCTGTTATATCGTTGAAAAACAAGTCTAGTCGAGTGTATAGCTATATTTATTTTGTTTTGTATTGCTTGTGCCTTGAAAAAATAGAGATTTATTCAAATTTACTAGTGTTTGTCTATTTAGCTCCATACTCAGGGCTCCTTTGGAACGCGGAATTGGAAGAGCACAGGGATAGAATAGAATTGCACATGCAAAACAGAGGATTGTAAAACAAAGGAAGATCATAGGGATTGAAGTTTGGATGGTTCATAGGTGTCGACGGCGAAAAAAAAAGTGACGGGTCGATCCCTGTCGTTGACACACTAGCAAGCCGAGAGAAACCCAGAGAAACCACGTGGAGCAGATCCTGAGCTCTCTCCGGACTTAGGAGGACACCGGACCGGACGATCGTGACCTAGGGCGTGCCAGTCAAATTGGTCCTGCAATTGACAAGGAGACAAGATTGATCAGTAATTTAAGGTGTAACATGCTGGTATTTGTCCAAACAATTTCAAATCTACGGCTAAGTAGCCGATGAGATAAGGCTATCTATTAGAGAGTTGATATCCAGCATGTTTCATGATACATGATAAGAAAAAACGAGCATATCGGCAATTGTCAATTATTCAATTGTATAGATCTAAATAATTGATGGTCATGAAAACATGCAAAAGGTGTAAAAAGTAGACTTAGAAGCGTTAATTTAGAAACATACTAACTTTTAACCAATACAAAAACAAGTAGAAACAAGTAAATAGCCAATATATTCTCTATGTGCGGGCTATCGGCTAAAACAGCCGATTTCGATGAAAGTAAACCCGTAACATGCAAACACCCAACCATTAAACATGGATAAGTTCATACACTCATCGGATCTAATCTACTATATCTAACAGTAGGGTTCGAGCCGGACCAATGCAACCATGATAAAGATAACAAGTTAAACCTTCAAAGAATACGAACCCATACACGCTCAACAGAATCATGAAAACATGCTACGATCGTGGAAGCGCAGGTGATCAGCTAAATAGCCGTTGCGGACATACAGCCTGTTCGCTTGGTCGTATTTGGCCTATAAGCCATGGCTTATCAGCCAACGAACAGTATTTTCACTCACACCAAACCAGCCAACAATATTTTCAGCCATGGCTTATAAGCCAAATCAGCCCAAACGAACAGGCGATAGTATGCTGCCAGAGGCTATGTTTGACCATAAACAAGACTTACTATTTAACGATTTTCGATCTATAGTGCTAACAATGGGGGTCGACCGGATCGATGTCAGCCATAATAGCAGTTCTAGACCAGATTTCATTAACTAGCAAACTTTACTTAGGGTTAAACACGTCCTAACCGCATGCTATCTTCGATCAACATTGGATCCAAACGGCTAAGCTAACCAAGACCATCGTCAAAGCAAGATGTAAGCATGGACAAGCAACAAGACGATGATCTGAAGAGATTTAAAGCTGATTCATTTCAATCTTAATCGGGCAAGGTGTGATTTTGTTACAAATAGTAAGAAACTAAATATAACAAGATCGATAACTAGTAAATCTATTAAAAACAGCAAGGGAACCCTACCGATCTTAATAGATTTAGTCGATAACTAATCCGTATCAAAATTTGTATAAGATACAAGCTGGACCAATGCAATCCGTATAAATTTTGATAAGAATCAAAGGTAACTTGTATCAGATAATTGTAAGAGATACGAGTCAGACCGATGCAACCTTGTAATAAACTGACGATAACTAACTTATATCAAGCTTGTAAGAGGCCAGACCTAACCGATGTAGCCTTATAAACAGTCTATAAGTCGTGATGAATACTCACAGACAAACCGGAGGTCGGACTTAACCGATGGCAGCCCTACTTGCTGAAGAGCTCATCGAAATCTACTCTACTTCTACTCCTAGGGGGTGGCGTAAGCCGAAAAGTAAAAGGTACTGGTTTTTTATTGATCACTGAAATGTCTATTACAATAGTCGGGGTTCAATATTTATATCCGAGGCTTGACTATGAGTCCTGGTCGAATAAGACTAATCGCAAAACTTAAAAAAGAAAACGAAACATTCTAATTTAAGATAACTTGGACTCTAATCTTTCCCTTCTATAAAGTCCAACGCGTCTTCTTCCTTCATGTTTTATCATCCCTACCAATGGGGCCCATTCCCTTGAAATGATGACGTCGTCTTATCCGGTTGATGACAATTTAGTTAGCCGATCTTGCTAAATATTTCAGATTTCCTTTAATAAGTTTATGACGTTGTGGCCTCCTTATCTCGAACCAAATTTTGGTGTCAACACATGCCCCCTAATTTTGGGATAAAATGATTTTATTCCAAAATTACTTCTCATGCCCATTGCATGCGCCGCACTTCCAACCATCTGCTTTGATCCTATGCTAACTTCTTTGGCCTCCTTGCAGATTTATCCCATTGGCCCTTCTCGATCAAGGATATATCGAAGATCATGACGTTTGGTCATTTGATGGTGATCATCCTTTTGACCTCTTGAGCCACCCTTCTCTTCCAACTCATGCTCATAGCTGATCCTTCGTCATTCCTTGAGTCCAAATTCTTCTACCATTATTGACCGCTGCACCAGTGATCAGCTTTTTGGATTGATCACTTTTCGAGCTTGGTCCATCAGCTAACCGACTGAACTTTAGCTGATCAATTCCAGGGCCTGCTTCCGAACGCGTGTGAAAACACAAAACTATAGCAGATAATATTTCACGTCTGCATCCCAGATTTGAATGAATTTGTAAATAATCCTGATGAATGAAATTTTCAAATCCACTGCTTTCACAACTGCTGCCCTCTCATTAGGCCACGTGTGGCTTCCTCGATATTCGAGATGGCCTTCTCTCTTCCATAAATTGAATTTATTTTCCTCGACTCAAAAGATCCATCAGTATCCCACTCCGGCTATAAACACACCCTTAAAGGATAGCCGAGGGATAACATATGTTCCTGCCTCTGCTTTTGCCATTGTGCAACTTCTCCTCCCCTTGTTCTTAGATCTAAAAACCATATCTAGAGAAGCATGGATCACGACAAGCGCGTCGCCAGTGATCTCCTAGAGGAAAATCTTCCTTCCCGCCGGCGCCTCCATTTTTAGGGGTAAGATCAAATCTATCCTCGATCTTTCATCTTCTTTTGCTGATCAGTTTGATGTTTGTAGTGGCGATCACTCTAGTGCCGCTCACAATGCCCATTCGATGG